CAATAATTCGAATTTAAAACGGGCTGTATAAAGAAAACCAGCCTATTGTCACTTCACTTTCCAATGGTGCTGATTGCTCCAAGAATTATTTAGCGATTTAGAGCATAATCAACACAATATATGCACATAAATATGTATTATTTCACAGACCTCAGGGTCAGCTTAGAAATACGTCACCAAAATTATATAAAATTTAAGTAGGAATTATTTTTATTTATAACGTAAAAGCGCTATCTGACCCAATCTGATAAGTATATTTCCCCTAAAGTTAACCCATTTTGTTTAATTTGTCTCTCGTGAAAATATATATTTTATTTAAAATTTTCAGATATATATTTTAAATTTTTGCTTTAATTTTTGTATCCTTTGAATATTTAATTAAAAACCTTAAGATTAAAATAAGCTTAAAACGAAACAGCACAGCAACCCTTTTCTGTTCATCTTGAGAACGCAAAACCCTGTTTTGTTAAAATTCGGCGCTGCACAAAATCCTGGCTTTTATATTTTCCAACAAAATACCACTTCGCAACCCTGGATTTTCACGAAGCGTTTCATTCGGGTCGTAGTTTTGCAACTTCGGGCCATTCGGTGTTGTATGCCATATTGTTCACACTGTCATCGCCATATTGAACACCCTGTCAACTATCTGTCAAACCTAAGATATCTCACTTGTATTCTTCCACAATGGAACAAGTATGTGTGAGTACTCACCAGTGTTGCCGTTTTAGTCCTTTGGTGGCTAGATTTAGCTATCACATACTTTTTTTGGCCACATAAATTTAAAATTGCCCCTAGCCCTTTTTTTAAAGGAATTTAGCTACCACTAAAAATGATTCGCGGTAACACTGGTACTCTCGAATGTGAGACCCCATGGCTGCCAACTTTCCTAAAAGCACCAAAGCTTGGGACAAATCAAAACACCAAAAAAATTTGTTCAGTAAAATTTAATATGCATCTATACTACATTAGTGATCGGACGAAGATATAAGTATTGTTGTATTTATCAAAAACCAAAATAAATAGTAACGAACTAATAACGACTTTAAACCTTTTATAGAACCAATTGAATTTTCACTTTAATTCAATCAAGATATATATATATTATATATAGATATTTTATTTGAAACAATGCATTTATACACATTTGTATGTACATACTTATGTGAGAAAGGCCATAATGCCAAGCAATGCAACAGTGTACCCTCATGCGTGCTGTGTAAAACAAGTGGGCAGATAAATAAAAGCCATATTGCTTGGTGGCAAGCAGTGTCCATTATTTCAGCGTGCATTAAAAAAAGAGCAAAGATATGAAGTTGCTGCAGCTAAACTTAAACCACTGCGAACCTGCCCAGCAGCTGTTCTGTCAGACAGTTATTGAGGAAAGCATTGATGTAGCAATTCTAATAGCGTTTTCTTTTCTCAAAAAAAGTTTCGAACTTTTATATGGCACCTCTTGCTTTGTGCTGCCCTCAAACCTGAGAAAAAGCTGCGTTCTTTATATGAGAATGAAACAGATAAAAGGCTACCCTGTCACAAATCAGCTGTTTGGTACTTTGTGTGTTTATTTTTTTTTTGGAATTGATCGGTGCAAATAATATTTATACTAAAACATAAAAGGAAATAGTATTTATAATGGAGGAGGAAACAAATGAGAGCCTGTACATTAAGCGCATAATTAGTAAGTATAAATAGCACACAATTTCTGCGCATTACAAAGAATAAAAATAAATAATATAAAAAAACCTTTTTAATATACAACGCTTTTATAAATGGACTAAAAAGTAGAAAAT